GCTCCCACCTCCACCCTTTCCTGCACACGAACATGCACACTCAGATAACATCAGTGTGTGCACAAGTGTGCAGTTACACACTCAGACAAAGCACATGTGCGGGCACGTAAACATGCAGACACACTCATACAGCACACATGCATGCACATAGCCATGCATAGCCACATGTTAATGCAACAAGCACATACATACACGTATACACCCTTCTACAACACACATGCACTCAACCATGTTGGCACAACGCAGTTCACAAAACTTTGGGGATTTCTAACATAGCACCATAGAAACCATCCTGGCCACCAGCTCATACAGCTAACACCCTTCCTTGCAATCATCGTGGGAAGTTTACAGAAGGAATAAAAGAGATAAAAGTTATCTATCCAGCCACACACTGACTAATCCAAGATGATTTTTCATTATAATATTGACACAAAACAGTTCCTTTTCTTCCCAAACCAGGAATGGAAACACGGCATAGTATTGCAACAAGAGAAAGATAGGGATTCTCCAGTAAATGGAGACTGTCTCCTCAACCCTTCTTCATCACAGGCAAGCACTAGAAAGAGAAAGAAAGAACTAGGGACAAAATAAATAAAGACGAAAGTAGGAACCGCCCATGCAATTTTATCTTCCTGGTGAAGTAATCGCAAACTTCTGTGTGATTACCAGAAATCCCTAGAATGTTTCTTAAAATGTAGATTGCTGGGCCCGTCCCAGGTCTCTGGGAAGTGATCACAAAATTGTATTTGCATTTCCAACAAGCTCTCCAGTACTGTGGCTGGAAATGGCGCTGGGACGGTACCACAAGAAGCGCTAGTGACAACAACACTCCCCATCCCCTGAGCCTGTCCCAGCCATGAAGTTTGTGCAGCCCATGTTGGCTCCAGCTCATGCAAATGAGGCTGGGAGCCCAGAAGCACCAGGAATGATTCTGCCTTTAGACACTTCCACCAAAATGCAATCCAGGGGCTAGAGAGATAGTACAGCAGGTATAAGGCTTCACATGTGGCTGATGCCAGTTTGATCCCCGGCATCCCATATGGTCCCCCCAAGAACCACCAGGAGGAATTCCTGAGTGCAGAGTCAAGGAGTAACCCCTGAGCATTTCCAGGTATGGACCAAATATCACCCCACCCACAAATGCCATACAATTCAGCCAACGAATAATAAAAATGACAGGAATAGGATCAGTTCCCTCTCGAGCTAGTGCCAGCTCTATACACACCCACAAGCCTTTCTGTCAGCCACAGCTATTTCAACCTGGGTGATTGTCAACTTGCTGCCTGATTCTCTGAGGCTAGGGCAAGTGCTTCTGGGTCACCCCATCCCTTTGTCCTGGATGATTCAACCAGCTAAAGACTTTCACAAGACCCCTCCATGCTGGGCTTTTGCTACGGACAATAGAGCATTCCCCAAGGTAAAGAAAAACTGAACTATTATTGTTTTCTCCCCCATATCCTCCCACTCGTAGCTTCAAAGGACAGTTACGAGAAGATAGCCATGATCAAAATTTGAGAGCACCGAGGCAAAAATGGCATTTTATCTTCTTATTCTGAGCAGTCTTGAGCAGAGAGTACATTTTCTGAACACGGTGCCTATTTGTCACAGATGTGGAAGAGATTAACTTGAATGGACAGTGTGAGAGAGCTCACTATCCATATTCCTTCTGTGAAGCTCCTCAGGCACCATCGTCTGGCCCAGGACAGATCATAACCAAATAGCAGTGACTCTAGTAAACCTGTGATGATGTAAGCGTGAGACCCAAACCACAACAACCAAACTTGGAACTACGTTTGTCAAAGAAACAGGCCAGGGAATGGGAGGGAACTTGGGGACCACTGGTGGAGGGAAGTCGACATTGGTTGGTGGGATTGGTGTCAGAAAACTATACACCCGAAATTCCAATATGTATAAGTATGCAAATCATGGTTCCTTGATATTAACAAATTAATCTGAATGCAAAAAATAATTCAAGAACGTTTCGAAGAGATAGTGCAGGGGTTAAGGCACTTGCCTGCCTCCCACCAACCCTGGCTCAAATCTCCAGCACCACATACAGTTCCCTGAGCACCAGCAGGATTCACTCATGATCACAAAATAATGAGCAACAGGTGAGAACTGCCAACACTGCCCAACCCCACACTGCTCCCGCCCTCCCACCCTCCAAACACACACACACACACACACACACACACACACACACACAAATTGTCAGATTTTAAACCACAAAACCCTTGACCAGGAGCTAGAACAGCAATTAAGGCGAACCGTGGTCTTCATCTTTGGTACCACATGGTTCTCTGACTGGATACAGCCCTGGTGGTCCCTAGCAACACACAGTCCGAGCAGCACTGCATCCTCAGACTCTCGTAATGAAGCACCATCCTGGCTGTCCAAGAATCACCCATGTGGACCCCAGGGTGCCTGGGCAGAGCAGCCCTTGGGAGCCCCCTCCAAATTAAGTAAAAACCCAATCCACAAGAGAATCCCAGGGTTTTCTCCATAAAGCTCTCTGCAACTGAGTAAGTGAAGAGCCTAGTAGTGAGGGCCCTGTCGACAGGGGCAGGGCACAAATCCTGTCCACAGGCTGGTGTTGGTGGCAAGGCTGGGCTGGAACAAGGGGATGGAGCCGCACCACACCCAACCACCCAATTTGAACCCCTGTCAGGATGAATCAATGCCTTGCGCTTAACAAGAAAGATAGATGCTAAACTGCAATTCACCCACGGTACAGCTAATTTCAGTCTTGAAAAAAATGCAGTGACCGAGTGAACTAAATTAACTCTCTGAATCTGGTTCATACACTTCAGAGCAGAAGGAATAGTTTAATAGTTTATGGGACATGGTTTAATGAACACAAACTCTCAGCTCTGTAGCCTGAACTTTGCTTCTACCTCCTAAGCAGTAGGCAAAATTCCCCATATGGTTCAGAGATTGTCCTTCAGACTAACATCAGCCCAACCACGGCCTAACTCTAAGGGATGTAATCTGCATTGTCCTTAAGCTCAGACTACCAAGCCCTACCAAGAGCATTAGGAAGGCTCTTAAAGTGAGACCCCAGTGATGTGTAATGGAATTTTTAACGCTCTCGAGGAACTAGGAACAATTTTTCTTTTAAGAACAGTGAGTAAGGGATGCAGGGCCCTAAGTGAGCAGTGCTAAGTGCCCTAGCTGCTGTCAATCAATATTTGACCGATAATAGTCATTTAAGCTTTTAGGCTAATTTAAATGAGTATCACCATACTTTACGTATTAAACCAGTTTTGGATTCTAATTCTTCAAGTCTGAAATAATGAGAGCTATAGAGTGTCATGAGATATCATTGCCCATTACTGTACCTGGTGATGCAAAAATGAATGTTATGATTCACTTGAAAGTATCCTGACTCTTAATACCCAGAGGAAAACTTTTTCTCAGATTGTATCAGAATATCTAAAATATCGTCAATAAACACAGAGCCAAGGTGAACATAACACATGAGGTTTTGGGAGTTTATACCCGTTGGCATGGGATTTATTTGGAAATTATTTTGGAGACAACTTGGAAATAATTTCTAAGGATGAACTAAAACGTCAAAATTTGGGGATATTTTTCTAACAAGATCTATTAAAGTCATTTAAAAGCTCAATTGACCCTCTTACATTTGTTTATTTTGAATATTCATTTTGCAAGCCCCTGCTCCCTAGAATTTTTAATTGTATTTTCAGAAATACTTACTAGAGGCATCAATATTGATTGTGTCTTCAGTGACATTTGACACACACATGTTTACGGTGCTAGCAGAAAGGCAAAAGGTAGGTTGAGCTGAAGTGTAACACGAAATTTGGTGCTTGAGGGGGAAAAGAAGTAGGTCTTCATTAAAAAAAAGGCAAATAACTGTTCCACAAACAGGATGAAAGCAAGGGCAACTGTCAACTCAAGTCAGGAAACCACTAGCCATGTTCTCTGATAAGCACTATTCCCAGCACCATGCGTCTTGAAATATATCTCACAGAAAACATATCTGTCTATAGGATGGAGATAACTGAGTACATTTGACTCTCAAAGGCTCTTCTTTAAAAACAAAGCAATCTTTAAAAGCTTAACTTTGGGACCAAAGCAATAGTACAGCAGGTTGGCCACTTGCCTTGCATATGACTGACCTGGCTTCAAATTCCCCACTCTGTAATGGTCTCTGGAGCACCACCAGCACTGATCCCTGCATCAGAGAGAGGAGTAACCTCTGACCACACAGGTTAGTGTGGCCACCATATCAAATACATAAAAATGAACTTCTGCATAGATTTCATTCCTTGCCCATTGATGAACAGGCTAGACTGGGGCACAAACCCTGGGTTTCACCCTGGGATGATGAAGAAGTTCGTATAAATCTTATTGTCAAATAGCACTTTGGTATTTCCTGGAAAACAGAACCTATCTGATGGGTCTGGAGAGCATGAACAATCTGAGGATGTTTCTGGATCTTACTGATACGTCCTCTTTTTCAGAATGAACCCTCAGGAATTTATTTACTTCAAAATATCCTTGGTATCTCAGTAAAGACACCAAAGCTAAATTCCAGCTCGGCCGCAAATTTATTCCATGACCTTCCCCTCCTAAGTCTTCATTTCCTTATCAGCAAAACATGGGTGCTGGGCTTAGATTGTCAAGGCTCCTTCTCAATCTACGAACTCATTTACAGCTACCAAGCAGCTCTTTCATTTGACATCTGCTTTCTGCATGTCCTTTAAAAGTTTATTAGATGGTACACTCTTGCTCTTCTGGCATAGCTTCAGACTACCTCATTATTAACACAGAGAGATAGCACCTAGTAAACATTTCAGGCGTGACAAACATTTAGATCACTCTGAAGAAGAAATATCTGCGATGCTTATTGCCATCCATCCATATGGACTAGTTTCAAAGATGATCAGTGAAAACTCAGTTAAGCTGGACATAAGCCTTAATAGGCATGTGATTCCTACTGGAGTGGTTACTCAGTTTAGAAGTTCTCCTTTTGGATCCTTTTCCAGTGCATAAGCATAATGACTGGGTATTCACACATTTGCGTGACAGGTGCCTCCCTTAAATCTTGCTACATATTTTACACATTATCCATCTGATGTGGAAAAAGAAAAAAAAAACAGCTCCTTTTCTGATAACCATTATTTCTTTGTATAATGGGGGGCTAATGATAATAAAAACCAAAATCTCCTTAAATTCAAACCACTATGATTGTATGTCGATAAAAACTTTAGTAGCACTAAAATGAAATTCTTTTTTCATATAAATTCACAGATAGAGTTCAAAATGATTCAAGGGTGCTTAAAATTCTAATAATCAAATAGCTATTCATGTATACACATGTTCTCACAGTTCTGATACTCCTTTTATACTGCCCTATTTCAGAACTTGATTTTCAGGCCTTTCCCATAAAAAAAGTACCTAAAAGACAGAAATCAGCCTAATGGAATCCCTTTATTTTAATATTAAGCCTAAACTGCCTGAAGAATAGCAATTTGGAGAAACACCCTGTCGGCTAATAGGTAACACACTAATATTTTATTACTTCAATCGCGACTTAAAATGATTCCAAGGAGCTCAGGGAAATTAAAGGTTATGTGGAACATTTCAATTACACGTACTCAGTGTTGTGAATACAGCATTTGGATTTTAACATGTCATTTGCATTGAAAGTTTCACAAAACACTTTCCCCATCCTAGATAAGCTGACAAGAGTAAATGAGTCATAGTTTGATCAACAGTGGTGCAGGAGATCAGGATTTCCCTCAGATAAAGGTTGGTCTTTTTAAAAATTGTTTTTTATGTGTTGTTTGGCTAAATCATTTGTGGTCCCTAAATTTACTGCCAAGAATCACATTGTTTCTGGCTTCTCCTATTGCAGCCCACATCAACTCTGATGATTTATGATCCCCACAGGTCCAGAGAAGGAGCCTGGTTCATGGAGGATGAAGGGGCGCAGAGGCTGGAGTCGGGGGATCACAATTCCCCCATCTCCTTCTTTCTGTGCGGCTATTTCTCTGCAACCGCGCTATGAGACTTCCCCCCCAAGAACAAAAGCTGTGTTATGTGCTTTACACCCTTCCACTCAAGAGAATCAGGTCTGTGCACTGAAGAATCCCGCTCATCAGCCTCTTGAGGGAAAGGACAGGCTGAGCCTAGAGCATCCGCCTGGATTCATGTGTCCCACAGAGGGTCTGACTCCCCCACAGGGCGTTTCATGGTCTCTGATCATGAGCGCACAGGGCCAGTCCCAGGAGAGAGGATGGCTCTCACACAGGACACGTGTTTGCTCTGTTTCCTGGAACTCAGGATAAAGGTGTCAGGACTCTAAATTGAGAGGAATCGTCCATGAAAGGCTACTCTGCACTAAGAATGACAGCAGAGCTCATGGGCTTTCCTGGCTTTCCCAGCAGGCTGAGAAACGAGGGGTAAAATGAACCACCTCATCAAGAACATCAGTTGTCAGTGCTGTTTTGCATTTTACATGAAGAGACGAGAGCTCAAACTGGATCATCTCTGTCACATTTGATTAGGTTTCCCAAAAGGAATGATAGGTTAAATCACACACGGAAAAAACAATACCTCGGAACTTTGAGAAGTTAAACAAGTGGTTTTTCTACATCCTGACTATATATATATATATATATATATATATATACACATATATATATATGCATGTCTGTACAAGTTAATATGGATAATGAATAACACTGATAATTATGAATTAGAAAGCCTGAAATCAGGTTGAGAAAGAACTCTGTAAGGAAGAAATCCTTGTTTGCAAAAGGAAAGCACGGTTCATAGAATTAAAATGAATTGGGACACAACTACTCCAATAAAAATGGGTGGAGTCTATTCCTGCAAGTTTTCTTCTTCAGACTAGTTGACATAAGAAGTTTTGTTCCAAGCAGTTTGAAATGATGTTATTTCTAGAACTTTCGGACGCTCCCCAGCTCTCCAGCCCTCCTGTGAAAGAAGGCTGTGCTTTGCGACTTCCTAAATGAGAGCCTTATAAAAACAAACAGCCCTCCTGATCCCCTGCCCACAGGACAATGGCCTCCAAGCTGTCAACAGACTCACATTCTGTGCTGCCCCGGGAATATGCCTGTGACATTTACTCTTGTGACAAGGCACATTTCGGCAGCTCGTCTGCACAGAGACCAGCATGCAGAACCTTTCATCCAGCTCATGACATTTCTTTCTTTTTTTTTTTTTCTTAAGTTTTTATTAGTGAGACACCATGAGGTACAGTTGTAGACTTACAAATTTTTGTGCTTGGGTTTCGATTACACAATGATCAAACACCCATCCCTCCACCAGTGCCCATTTCCCACCACCACGGGTCCCAGTATCCCTCCCACCCCCCATCCTCTCCCATCCCACCCTGCCTCTGTGGCAGGGCATTCCCTTTCGCATGACATTTCAATCAGCACCTTTTTTCCTCCAGTGCCGGGACTTTGCCATCTGAGTCTCTAAGTACTGCCCGAGCAACAAGTCTCGCACCCCTGCGACCATCTCTGCACTCACCGTACACCATCGCGCCTCCCGTTTCGTGCAAGAAGCGAAAACGATGATTTTTAAATAGCCAGATTGTCAGAATGGTGAGGATGAGCAGAAAATTAAAGACCAGCAGTTCCACCGCCCCTTGATGCTGAAACTGATAGGCATCCTCCTCGGTTAGGAGCCTCTGCTGCCTCTCCATCCCCAGGCTCAAGCGGCAGATCCCTCTAGGTTTGCCTGGGGTATCCTGGCTGCCTGGGAACCTCCGAACTGAAAGGCTGCCACTTCACTTGCTACTTCGCGAGCAGCTTCTGCCTGGGCTTAGTATTCAGCCGGCTTCTAGTTACCACTTCCTGTTTCTCTCTTAAAGCAGCCCTGTCTCATTCCCAACTCCAGATAGCAGAGCGGCTGCCAATGCCACCCGGCTGTCAGTAAGTGGGAAATGGGCACTGGTGGAGGGATGGGTATTTGATCATTGTATAATTGAAACCCAAGCACAAAAACTTGTAAGTCTACAACTGTACCTCATGGTGCCTCACTAATAAAAATTTTTTTTTTAATTTGAAAAAAAAAAAAACAAAAAACCTGGGCTCAAGCTTCTCTTAGCTTTTTGCTGCTGCAAGAGTTTCACCCTGTATGCCCTGCCACAGAGGCAGGGTGGGATGGGAGGATGGGGGGTGGGAGGGATACTGGGACCCGTGGTGGTAGGAAATGGGCACCGGTGGAGGGATGGGTGTTTGATCATTGTGTAATTGAAACCCAAGCACAAAGATGTGTAAGTCTACAACTGTACCTCATGGTGTCTCACTAATAAAAATTAAAAAAATAATAAGTGATTCACGCCACACAAATTACTGAGCAGATCTGCCAGCTGTTCGTCCGAGGTCTTGAGTCCTGATTGATCATTTCAAACGAAACTTCTGAAGCTGTGCGGCTGGTGAGTCGCAGGTTAATCATGAAACAGATCACCTTCCATCCACCACCGGCATATTTTCTAAGTCCAAAAAGCGAGTTCTCAATTATTACCTAAGGCAGCTAATGTAAAAGTCTGTCCTCTCCGCTAAAGCTTGCCAGTACAAAGAAAATGGATAGCTTGCATAAACCTAACTAAATGGATAGACCTGACACGGTTTCACGGTGATTTTGCTTCTTAGGTTGAAAAGCTAGAAAGAATTTAGTAGATGACTCTCAATTCAGGTTTATATAGTCCTAAGTGCAGCTTTTAAAACTCTGAATTGATTGCCTGTTGTTGTTGTTGTTGTTGTTGTTGTTTTAGCAAAAACAAAGGAAAATGAAAGAAAAAAATAAAATCTGTTCCCATACATACAGCTATGATGTTTTGAACATATTTATTCAAAAAAAGAAAAGAGGGACCAGAGAGATGATAGGAGGGTTAGGGCGCTTATCCTGCATGCAGCCAGCCGGGTTCATTCAGTTGCCAGCAACAAGCACGGTTCTGCCAGGGACTGCCTGAATCATACTTGAGCACAGAGTCAGGAGTAGCCCCTAAACACTGCGGGGTATACAGCCCCGTAATACACACACACACACACACACACACACACACACACACACACACACTTACCAATCAAAGGAAAGAAACCAAACTTATTTTTCTGACGGAAGGAACCTCAGCCATGTCACACCTGTGGGTGTCTGTCTCTCTGAACAGTTCTGAGCTTTTGTTTCAGGCTCAGATACTCAGGACTCACTAGAATTTGCTGCAAAGCACAAGGCTCTTTTGTCCTTGGGGCAAACAAGGTGGTGCTCTGCAGACAGATTGGCCACCAGGAAGGGGGACCATAGGGTCACTGGGCACGGACATTAGCAGGGAGAAATCTGCAGGTCACCTCCAGGTGGGCAGGTTATTGCTGTCTGGGTACATATTTTTATACTAGTTGAAAAAAGCCAAAGCAAAACAATGTTGGAATCGACTTGCCTTTTTTCCAATCATTGAGATTTGTAGTCCATCCATTGTGGAGTCTTGTTAGATGCACACAGGATTAGCGAGTTTTTTTTTTTTAATCATCCCATGATATAATTTGAACTCAGGAGTGTTAATCCAGCACTCCCATACTTGACAGAATTAGTCAACTTGTACAGCGTGATTCATTAGGTAGGGTGAGTCCAAATATATCCTCCAAAAATCTTGGCACCGAAAGCTAGAGATCAGAGATATAATACACCGAGAACTAACCAGCTTTTCAACAACAAACAGCTTCACCCACAGAGTCTATCAAGCGTTTTACAGAAAACTGTGCTGTTTCAGCTTCTTCACCTTCAGCAACTTCAGAAGCTAATTTCCTCTCTGGGTTTCACTCAGCACGGGGTTTGTATGTGGGCTACAGATGTTCTTTTATCGCACTACCCTTTTTGGCAGACATATTCTTGATGACTAATATTCAGACTATTTTGAAATCTGTCATCTAATGCTTGCAAGCATTTCATGAAGCTTTGTTAGCAGGTTCCACCTTTATAATCTTGCAGTCCCACAGGTTTAGTCTTGAGTGGTTAGATTTATGAGATAATCAAAACTCAGAATTTTTCAATTTCGTGTCTTTTGCCCACAACTCCAACCTTTGTCATCACTGGTTTACTTGTGTTTCCTGTTTATGGGTAGAATAAACTTTCCTTGGTTGTCATCTTTTGACATCTCATTGTTCTCTCCTGTTAGCCAGTGAAGCAACTCAGCAGAAGATTAAAGGTCTCTGGAATGCTTTGACTGGCTCACACATTGTTCTGCGAGTCAAAGTGTCAAATTTGATCCCAACATATTCAAATCAACAGCATTCATATTTAAACATAATGGCTTCTCTTAAAACACTGTTAAGATCTGATCCCGGTGCCTCCTCACAACATATGGATGCTGAAGAGTCACATGCTCCATTAATAACCAGTTTCCCTTGACTTGCCTCCACCCAGTTCATAGTGGATGGCTCCTGTCTAAACACACCCTGCATGTGTATCTCTTGGTATATTCCAAGAGACAACATTCCCCTTGACAGTGCACTTTCCCTTAACCAAGTGTCTCAGCCTAATGTTGCTTATATTAGGATGGAAAGCTGAGAATCAAAGGAGAGTCAGAATTTTTCACCCCCAAAAAGTGCTTTAGTTATGCCTATGTTGTGCTTTATTATCACAGTATTATTTGATATTCTGTTGTACCAGTAAAACAGAATGAATTCAAAATATTCAAAAATATTTTAAAATAATCAATTTGGTATGTAATTCTGGTAGGAAATGTAATGTTGAAGTTAAATACCTAACTGAACATCTAGAAACCCCTCCTACCTATGAGAGACATAAGATTCAGAGAGGACTGGTCACATATGAAAACTTGCACACACAGTGGGAGTTAAATTTATATATGAGCTTTGAAAGTCTGAAGGCAGCAACTTCAGTTGAAGTCTGAAGAAAGTCTGAAGTAAGCAACTCAACTGGGCTTGACAACAACTTTTCTGATCTGAGTTCTGGAAGCCCTGTATCCTAGGAAATTCCTCAAACACAGTCAAACAAAGACAGGTAGGTACCCTAAAAGCCAAATTTCCCCCAAATTTCCAAATCCTATGCCATAAATAATCACTATTCTTTACAAGAGTCCTACAGGGAGTCCTTTAGAGCCAAGTTCTCTGATAAAATTGGGACAGGACTGAAAAGTTAAGCATAAAGCCCAGGGCGAAATCCCTGGTGGTTTCTCAGTCCCAGTCTTACATCCACTAGTCACTGAATCAAAGATTCTGATGACTCGATGCAACACAGTGAGGTACAGAGGGAAAAGCAGGAGAGGCTGGATATGCTGCCACATTCAGCCCTGCCTCAGCTTGCCCCTCCAGCCCCAGGACAGAAAAGAAACGAGACAAACTTCCCACTCTAGGGAAACACTATTCCACATGACCAGTCCAAAGATGGAGACCTTTTATGCTCTCACCCTGGACTCTAAGAGCTTTCTTTTCAGAGATGGGAATGAGATTTCAGAAGTGGGAGTACTGAGAAAGGCAACTTTTCTGGAGTTAGGAGAGATATTGTGCATGACCCCTACTCACTTTTAACCCAGTATATTCGGATAACAGAAAATGCGAAAGTCAACCCAGGCCCTGGGTGGGAGGAAAATCCTATGGCCTCATTTCCTTGGCCTCTCCCCCACTAATTATCCCTCTCTGACATCAGTGGGATGCTCTATCTTGTCTCCAAAAGCTTGGGAAAAGACCAGAGTAGGATGGCAATTAAGTTTACTTGAAGACAACACAATGCACAAACCCCCCAATTTTCCCATGTTCTATTTTCAAGCCCTCCATAAATCCATCTGTGAAAGTAATTAAATGAGGTGTCAATTAGGCAGTGGTAGGTGGAATGCCTTGGCCTACTTAAGCAAAACAAAACTCAAGCCAGAGTCAATGCACTTGAATCCAAGGAAATGAAAGCTACCATCACAGGGAGACAACGAAGCTTTCTCCAAACAGGTAATGCTTAAACTCTAACAAATCAAATCATTTCCTAGTTGCCTTCATTTCTAAAAGCCTCTCTACTGGGTCCTGCTGGTGGAATGCTCCTGACCACTCAGCTTGGCGCTGCCTGGCCTGAATGTATGTGTTTTCAAATAAACTACTGACAATCTAAAGGTGCCTCAGTTTACCTTTAAATACACCTTAGTTCTTCCTACTCTTAAGAAGTCAAACATAGGCATAAAACTGTCCCTAACTTAAATAAGTTGAATGTCTCCCATTAGTGAATTTCCATAAGATTTGACAAATTTCACAGAGCTGGAGAGAGTGTACGTGGCCTGAGGTACTTGCCTTGCACACAGCTGACCCCAGTTCAACCCCAGCACTGCATACGTTACCCTGACCAACACCAGAAGTAATTCCTATGCACATATTCAGGAGTAAGCCCAAAACTAAAAAAATAAATAAATAAAAATAAATTAAAGCTACAGAGATAAATAGAAACACATCACAGTAGAGCTTAATTATATAATAAATATCTGAACAGAGTATTAAGTGTCCCCCCCCCCCCCACTCCAATTCAGTGTCGTGTCTGGTCTTTCCTTTTAGCCTTACTTATCAGCATCCGAGCATCTGAAACTGAGTATCAGGAACTCAAGATGTCTCTCCGAAAGCTATTTTTTAAAATAATTATTATGGTGGCAAAGTGAAATAAAGATGATGCACACAGGTGAAAATGAGAGGATTTCTAGAATTAAAGGTCTCAGTCATTTGAGGCCCGGATAAGTAGCTTTTCCTCCTCCCATGCCATAGAGTGTGTCCTAGCC